CTTGGTTATTTGTTACAGAAGCCATAGAAAATACAGTACCTATCCACGTATCTTATTTCAGATTCTACATTCAGTGGAATCCATACTAACTCCCTGAGGTTTATTTTACATTTCAAAAAATAGGATTCATAAATATTGTTTCCCTGGCAGCACTGATCAAGAAGAATACAGTCATAGAAAGTGCAACATACCTTCTTAGCAGCCCAACCTCCAGTATGGAAAGGGTATTAACATTGTTCATTGAAGGCATTTATGCTTCTACAGCACTTGAAGTTTACATTCAAAGACTTAAATTACTAAAGTTTACCCATGAAAAAATAGATATTATCCAGGTTTTCTGTGAAAGGCACTAAATATTAGAAACCTTCCCACAAAGTGTTCTCTGGGTCTACTTAACTACCTTCTTGGATTCTGCCATAGGTTGAAGAAATATACTAATCATATGCAAATTATTCTTTTGAAGAGGAAAAGCCTGAAGAGTTTTCAAAAGGGCGCTTTTCCCTGATGACCAAGGGGACTAAGACGCTGGTCATCCTCAAGTTTTCCTGCAAGTTCTTTCTGACACATGGCTCTGCACCATCTCTATCCTCCCCTAGGACAGCCACCCTAAAGGCCCTCTGGATCACCTGGCCAAAGAAACATCACCAAACACACACCTGAAGGTGCTGAGCTCTTGGAAAGCAAGACCACCTGCTGTTTGCTCATCACACAAGGCAGAGCTGGCTCACAATCTGGTCCACTGGCCTGGCAGGCTCAGGATCTCAACACCGAGGTGACGGGATTGACTCAGAATCCTGCCCCCTGGCTTAGAGAACATGAGCCTCCCTGCCCCCAGGAGAAGGTGCTGGTGTTGAGTGATCAGCACTGTCCCCAGACTTTCTGGGACGTGTTTCAGTTGGTACCGAAGGCACTGAGAAAGAAAGGCAAGGCTTCCACTGTGAGCTCCTTGCATTCAAGCCTTTGTTTCCTTTGGGCACATTTCCGAGATGCAGCACTTACCAGTGACTGTTCCGAGAAACGACGAGAACAGATTTAAATCTGGCCCATCAAGGAACACCTGCTGCTCACAAGTGGGTGCTGTGACTTGGGGGAGTCTATTCTGCTCAACCGTCTGGAGGGAATTAGACAGCAGAGACAGAGCCCCAGTGCCGTTGTAGGTGGTCTAACTGACACTGATGACACATCAGCTCCCAGGCATCAGGGAACAGTGTCTCCTCCTGTCTGGAGTCTACAGGCTAGAAATAGGAAACACACTTCTTAGTGCTCCCTTAGTCTTGGATGCCCAGTGAGCAGGGGTCACATGGGGATTGGGAGTTGTGCACCAGACCTGCTACCACTGGCAAGGCAGCTGTTCCTTGTCTAATAAAAAAAAAATGGTTGGGTTTCAGGTCTCCATATGCAGCCACTTCCAAGTCCTAACGGAAGGGAAGGCCAGAGGGTGGGATGTGGGACAGGATGACCCTGACTGTAGTAAGTGGACTTCAGTTTACAGGGGCTCAGTCTCTGGCACTGGACTGAGAACTCTCCTGGCTCTAGGCTGTGGAATGACCCTGCATGTTGGAACAACCTGAAGCCAAGAAGGTGAAACTTGAAGACACCTCTCAGGACAGAGATGCTCTGTGGAAGCCAGGCAGTGATTGTATCAGGACCACACAGGATGCTCCATCCACGTCTCAGTGGCAAGCCTTCACCTGGCCCCGTGAAATTGAGCCTGTGTTACCAGCAGTTGCCAAAACAGTGTATTTTGGCCCCTATTACTGAAGCACCTTTTATATCTACAAAGATGTATCTGATTCTGTTAGGAAACTCTTAGTATATTGGATCCAATTTTACAGTTTTCATGGCCTGGACAATAAAGCCCTCAGCCCAACTAGACAGTTATGAACTACAGACATTACCAGAGGGCTATTGTCCGTTCAGTCTCGGTGCTCACCTTAAGCAGATGAATCACCATAGGAACCAGAATTGCAGCTGGAAGTGCCCCTCTCTGGGACCTCACCTTATGCCCTGAATGTAGCATGTGTGGGAGAAATGTAGATCTGGCTACACGAATCCTCTGGGGTGGGGGAGGCCCCAGTGTGCCAGGCTCCAGGAGGGACTTGACTGTGAGTCAATCTGGGAGGAACTCTGAGTGTGAAATGAGGACATTACCCCTTGAGCATCGGAAGAGAAGAATGCCTATACTCCAGATTATTAAGAACACTGTTTTCATACCTTCTTATGTGTCCACTCTGTAATTACTGGTGGAAAAATTAGAGAATGGTAAGGCAAAGGAACAGAAGGTTTTCATTTCAATCACTCAAACACCCCACCTCAGGGGCACCCACAGTATAGGGTGGAGGAGGTACAGACTTTCAGACTTTTAGACTCAGGGTTTCCTTCACGGTCTTGACTAGTATTCAAACACTTAATGAACCCACATTCTCAAATTCATCACTGCTAATGGAAAAAGGAATCCATATACCAAAGAGGCTGCCAGAAAGGAGAAGAGTCTTGGTAGATACTGGAGTCTCCACCCTCAGGAAGACCTAAGATCTCTTTAAAGGACTTCTAACTGTGGGATGAATTGGGAAATTGGGATTGACATATATACACTACTATGTATAAAATAGACAACTAATGAGAACCTACTGTATAGCACAGAGAATGCTACTCAGTGCTCTGTGGTGACCTAAATGGGAAGGAAATCTAAAAACAGAGGGGGTACATGCATAACTGATTCACTTTGCTATACAGCAGAAACTAACATAACATTGTAAAGCAACTATACCCCAATACAAATTAATTTTTTAAAAAGGACTTCTAACTGAATCGGGACCACCCAGAATAATCGCCCTTTTGACAGCTTAAAGTCAACTGATTTGGGACCCCAATTACATGTGAAAACTCCATCATGCTTGCCATGCAAGGTAATCTAATTATGGTCCTAACACCAGGGGGCAGAGAGCCTGGGGCCATCTGAGAATTCTGCCCACAACAGCAAGTTCCCTGCTAGTACCATTTTACTTAAGCCACTGACAGCAGTGAAAACCACACTTTCTGCTCTCCAAGGGACACCAATTGAGGCAAGATGTGAAGTGTAGGAAGGTAGTGACTTCAGAGCCCACATGACAAAGGAAACTGAGGCAGACAGAGAAACTTAGAAGTGAACCCGCTGATTGAACTACTGTATACCCCAAGAAGTCTTCTCAGCTGTAAAGACCATGCAGCCCCAATGGGCTCACTGTGGCTTTACTGACAGAGAATTGAAGGATGTCTCCACCCAGATTGGCTACCAACTCTCAACTCTGATAGGCTGCTAATTCAAGCATGGCTGCATCAAATGGAGAAAAGAGTAGCACAAAATTGAGCAATGATCATCGAACGCACCAACCAGACAGTTTCAGAGCAGAAAGAAGAGGTTTCCTTACACAACTGCAAATATTTGCCCTGTGAGTCCTAGAATTTCTGATGCTTATGACCCTGATATGTCCACACTTCCGGCACCTGGACGGGCTGACGCCTCTATTTGGAATTCATCATGGGATTCTCTACCTCAGGATGACCAGCGGACACGTCTGGGGATCACAGGACCCTGATGGATCTCCATTTTATGAGACAGATCAACTTGCACAACCCTACCCTCTCAGGGAAGATGATCCCAGCATCCTAGATAATATCTCTTTGCATTGTCCCACCTGATAGGAGGTGCCACCCATCTTCAGTATGGCTTGTGATCCAGCTATGCAAATCCTGACAAAGGACTGATCAATAGAACGACATTTCCAAAATCTTTAATGTGTACTTCTGAGTCTAAACAAAACAGAGCTCAAGAAATTATTTCAGTTTAAGAAAAAAAAATTCCCACCTCATCCCTTCTTCCATACACAGACCTCTGGACAGAAGTCAAAGCAACAGTGCTTTGGGAAGACTCCCTTTAGAGCATCAGCACAGGGTCAAGTCAGGCCATGCCCCTGGGCTAGGCTCTGCCAAGATTCCCATACAAGAAAAGTCTCAGTCTCCCTTCTGACTCAACCACTGAGTGTCCAATGGGAGGACAGGATGGCCTCATTAAAAATAATGGGAGCCGGGCTTCCCTGGTGGCACAGTGGTTGGGGGTCCGCCTGCCGATGCAGGGGACATGGGTTCGTGCCCCGGTCCAAGAAGATCCCACATGCCGCAGAGCGGCTGGGCCCGTGAGCCATGGCCGCTGAGCCTGCACGTCCAGAGCCTGTGCTCCGCAACGGGAGAGGCCACAACAGTGAGAGACCCGCGTAACGCAAAAAAAAAAAAAAAAAAAAAGACAGGCGTAACATTATCAAGGTCCCTTCCATAATCAATGGCAGGAAGGACGTACAAATAAAGAGTAGGCAGGTATGAGGAAGGGCTGCTAGATGAGGACAAGGATAATATGGCTGAGCACTGGTGCAAGCTGCTCCTTGTATGAGTAATTCAGGTGGAGATGGTCTTCCTGCAACCATCCAATGTGTGGGAGAGAGAAAACTTACCTCCTGAAAGACACGGCTTAGAGTTGGTAGTTTGGGAAATAGTGACATGATGTCATATTCAATACTAGAGGGAGACCTCTATCTGATGGCCCATCCCGGTAAATGTAAAGGGTTAAAACCCGGAGCGCTAATGGTTGGACCCAGGGGTTTGTCCAGCACACATGATATCATCTTACTGCTCCAACAGACCTACTCCTTCTGGCCACGTGGTCCCCAGATTCTCAGTGTTGGAAAAACAGTAAGAACAGTGCTATCATCCCAACAGCTAACAGGAAAAGGCTCCCCCATGCTGAATTCCTCCTTCATTGTGATGATCAGGATTGTGTATTTTGGAGAGATGTCTCAAAACTAATCAATTAGAGATTTTTCATTATTATTATTTTAGAATTTTGGTTTTTTTATTTTTTGGCTGTGCAGCTTGCCAAATCTTGGTTCCCTGACCAGGGATCAAACCTGGGCCCCGGCAGTGAAAGTGCTGAGTCCTAACCACCGGACCGCCAGGGAATTCCCTGAGATTTTTCATCTTTAAATGATAAAGTAACTTTTCCATTTTTTTCTGGTGTTTCCTATGATAAGGAACAGACTTCTCTGTGTCAGCTAAGAGATCCTCAGCACAAGCATTTCAGGAGACCACTCCTAGGGATGTGGGTTCATGATGACTTGAGGGGCTGGAAATGAGCCCCCTGCTCTCTTACCTTCCTTTGAACACACCTGCAGCCCCCATACCACTGCCAGCTCTGCAGAGAGGAACAGGGCTTCTGTCTTCTACTGCCAGAGATTTCAGAAAGATTGGTGTGGTCATACCTCACAGTGAATTTTGACTCACAGACGTCGTTCAGGCTATGCTAAGGAAAAATTCAATTTCCATTCTGACAGTGCACTGGTCTAAATATCATAATGACCAGTCACCAGCCATAGAAATCAAAACCAGAGACCAGTAATGACGATGATGAAATAACCTGAGCAAATCGAGACTTTTAACGTCCATCCTTGGACATTTAATTTTGAGCTGGTAAAGGAAAGGCCAGGAAAATAAAGGGGAAAAAACACACAGATTCAGCTGACAGCACTGATACAAGTTGTAACTCGATGGGACATTATTATAGCAGCCCACAATGAAAAAGACTGAAACACTATTAAGATTTTTTTGTCATTGGTGTAATGTTTTAAATTCTTGGGGCTGGTAGGAGGATCCAGTAAAGCAAAGGATGTAAAAAAAGAAAAAAGTTCTCAGGAAGAACACTCAGAAGAGACATGAGGACCCAATTTCAAACATTTTTGAAACATTTGAGGACATTTTCATGGTGGGAATCACTATTTCCCAGAGGAACTCAGCCCGGGCTAAAAGGATTACACTCCATTTCCAGGTGTAGTCTGAAAACAGAGCGCACTGGGTTCACACTGGCTTCACTACTGGAGACTAAGTGGACCCTCAGCTCCACTCAGGGCTCCTAGGATTTTACTGCCAGAGAATCTAAGATGTGGTGGGAGTAGTTCTCAGAGCTGGCCTGTGAGGTCTTCCCTTCACATCTGCCGATGGTCAGCAAGTAGCCCAGAGAAGTGGAACCCCTGCCACCATGCATCCACAAACAGCAAATCTGACACACATTCTGAAAGTTATTTTCTCTCATAGCATCCATCCTTCAGGACCTCGGAAACATATTCCCCAGAAAAAAATGTCACCACGCACAACCAGTAAAGGGATATGTCTGGGAAGGCACAAACATAACATATATCCCCGCCCAGAAAATATGGTAGACTCATTTCTATCTCAGAGGATACACTGAAGTCCAAAGAGGGTAACACTATGGTGACAGAAAGAGTTTCAGAATTCTGTTCCATGTCTTCAGACAGAGCCCAGCTACCCAGAGCAGAAAGTGTTGCTGCTGACCATCATAATCGATATCCTCATTTTGGCTGGGACAATGTTCTGGTGGTGCCCAGGGCATGGAAAGAAAACTTCAGGGGCATCTGGGTGCAACCTTCCTGTATTCAAGCCTTTACTTCCTATGTGCACTTTCCAGAAAGCATGTCTGACACCTCAAGGTCTAACAGCATTCCATCAGCTTACAAATAGATTTCCATTAACCCAGGTGGACAATCCTTCAACAAGATGGGGATCTGTTGAATACATGTTCATGATTGAGCTCTTCCCCTCAAATACATTTTCAGACACAGAAACCAAAACCAATGCAAAATGGAAACACAGATCAAGGAAGATGGCAGATGAAGGCCCCACCACATTAACATATGGAACCTATACTGATTAAGACAGTGCACTGCCATGGGGTCAAGTTCACAAGATTGAAGAGCTAGCTGAGGGGTATGAGCTATGGGGAAAGACCTAAGTGGCCCAGGCCTGTCACAAATGCTGCCATGTAATCAACAACCAGTGAACGTGCCTGGGAGTAAATTGGAGCTGAACTCCCTTACAGGACATCCAAAAGGTTAATGACTTCACCCAGAGCTCCACAAATACTCATGAATGCACAGAATCCTTCTGATACATAAAGAACAAGAACGTCAGTCACACAAATGTTAGCGTACGACCCAGGATGCGTCCAGCAGGGCTGACAGGACGAGAATCACACTCCAAAATGAGATTCCTCAGGCAGCTGTGGAAGTCTTTAACCTGAGGAAAGGGTTGGACTAGTGACAGCACTGATTAACAAAAGTAGACCCTGCAGGCAGTGCAGCTGCAAAAGGGTTTCAAACCCATCTCACACGTCCTCCTGATTCAGTCCTAGGAGGTTCAATGGGAAGGCAGCACCTCCCAGTCCAGGCTTCACCAGAATCCATGGGGCTGCAGAAGAAGATGCAAATGTCATAGTGTGGTATAAACAAACTCCTCTCCACAGACGAGCATCATTTGCTCATATTCAAGTGAGGGACAGTTTTGAGAAGCTCAAGGATTGTGGATGAAACTCCCTTACAAAGACTGAAGGTAATACGATTTTTTATAATAAACTAATCCTAAACGAATAGGAACATGGCAAAGTGTGTTCCAAGAAGAGGATGTCTATGTAGTAAAGTGTATACCATTAGAAATGAGTCACTGATAGATTCCATCCCTGTGAGAATATTTCAGTATAACACCTCAATATCCATTCTGCTGCAATACAGGAATGAGATATTGTAGATTTCTTTCACAATATTTTTTCTTGGCAAACTCATATCAAATTTTAGATAATATAACAACATGATTTTATATTCCTGGATGGAAAATAATGTCTGAAAAGAAAGGAAAAGCACCCTTAGGAATCAGGGTAAGAAAACAAATCTCATTTATCAGTGCTCTAAGGTACTTGATCCTGGCTGACATTGTTGAGAGACAGAGATAACAAGGGAATGGGATTCGAGGTCTAGAAAGAATCTCATCTCAGGAGAGGAAAATAGATGCCCTCACAAGAAGATGGATGATGGAGACCTCAGCTGTGGTGTATGAATAGCCTTGCTAGAGTAGACTAACATGTCCCTTTTCTACTGAAAGGAGAACCCAGGAGGTTTGTCATTCTTCTGGAAAGGGTGGTTGGGGTTTGTGTCAGAGGACAGGGTGCTCCATGATACATCTTCCAGACCTTGTTTTCAGCACATCTGTGGAGGACAGCACCACGCCTGTTGCCTACATTTCACCAGATGACCTTGCTGTGATGGGTCAGGTTCTGTCCTAAAGCTTTCCCCAAACTTTTCCAAGAGAGCTCAGTGCAGGCACAAGGTCCTTGTTAGATGTGCAGGAAGGAAATTACCTCATACGGTGGGGTGGATGGAATTGGTGGTGAATCCTTGGATTCCAGTCCTTCCAGCGAGGACATCCTGTGATACATTCTACATGGTTCTTCACGGGGTCCCATTAGGAGTGAGACACAGGGAGAAGTGACAGCTCAATGCTATGTTTGTTACTGGTACTTCTCCCCATCCAGTCCCACATTCACCTCACTAACTTGTGTGCGACCTGGGATCACTTCCAAATAAGATATCTGGCCCAAGTGCAGGTGTCAGCTTCTGAACTCAAGGAATTGAACTAAGACATTAAGATTCCACTTCTTATTTCTAAAACGAACACGCTTTTGTTTTGTTGAAATGAATGATGAGGACAGAGTGATGCGAAGAGGGGGGCAAAATGATGGAGAGTTTGAGGAAAATAAGGAAGACATGACAAGAACTTGGAATCGCAGGAAAGAAGATGACTAATTTTAATCTCCCCTACTGTCTGGGCCATGCTACCATCCTCTCTCAGACCTGGCTGTTATTAATTGAACTCTGATCTTCCCATTCCATCTGTGTTGACCTATAAAACTTGGGGCACCTTGGAATGTGCACTCTGCAGGAACCAACAGATATACCTACTGATGATAGGTACCTGATTTGGACATCTCAGACTTCCTTTTCAACTCTCCAGGACCCACTTATCCCCTCAAATGCAGATCAGGACCATAATGCCAAAATATCTCTTAGCGAGAATGTCTAGCCCACTGGATACCTCTTAGAAAATACAACAGCAAAAATGCTCCGAGCATGCCTCTCCCATTTTTCTCTGTCATTCTTAAAGTAGCCACTCATGGCCTCAGTCTTGAGGACATTGAAAGAGGCAAAGGAAACCACTAGCTTTTACAGGCAGGATCTTGAAGGTCAGATATAACTCATACCACATGACCAGAACTTGATTTCCCTGCTGTGATTCTTTAGCTGGGATCAGGGAACTATCTTTATCCTAGTTGACCCCAGAGGAGCTAATGTGATCCAGCAAGACAACTTATGGGGATAAAGGCTCCTCTGAGGTCTACTCCTCAGGTCAGCTACCTCCACAGTCTTCCCCTAGTTTGGGCAACACAGGGTAGATTAGTTACTAAAGGTGGTCAAAGCAGAAATCCAATTTATAAAAGACACCATAAACCTGTCCCCAGATTTAGAAGGAAGGGACATACCTTCATTTCTACTTCACAGGAGAATTGCTGTGCTTCATGAAAGAGGAATTTTGTCTCTTCATAAAAACTGTTTTTTAACAAGGAGACAATTCACTCTCTGCTCATCTACATTTTATTGGCACTAGTTAGAGAGCAGTGCTGTTGAAAAGCCATCTCTGACCAGAAGAATGCTAAGAAACACATCTTCACGGCCACCACCAGATCTAAACCCAAAAAAACACCTTATGGACATTATCAAACCTAAATTCACACCTAGAAGTGAGGGACCCCCATAGGACAGGAGTAAAGTCACCAAGATACCTCCTATTTATTATGTAAGATAAGGAAAAGTAGCTACATCAAAACGACAAAATGTACATTATCACTGGTGTTAACTGTTGTGAAGGAGTTGTAGAGATCTCAATGAGGTCCTCTTTATCTCACTGGCATCATACATTGTCAAAGTTTTAAGTCACATGAGAGATTTAAAAAGCTCTGAAAAGGGCTGTAGTGGGAAATAACCACACTTCGGGTGATTCACTAACCACTTGGTGACCACAGCCAATGACTTGTGCCAATGACTAGGCAGCAGAAATTTACATCCTAGGTCCCACCTATGGCCCCATAGGACTATTCAGCCAAGCAGCTATTATCTCACTGCTCCAAACAGACCCATGGCTACTGAGACCATGAATCCCCAGATGCTCAGTGGCTGGAGAACCCAAGAAGGACCAGACCAGTTCTCTCAGCAGTTAATAGGGAAAAACCTCCACATAAAATGCTTCTTCAACTATAAAGGTGAGGGCTGTGTGTTTTGTGGAAGACGCTCACAGGCTCCTATCTGATATTTGCCATCTTTAAGTTTTGCCACTATAGTTAAGACTATCTTTGTTCAGCCAAAGAGAATCAGACACACAAGCAAGATAGTTTCAGGAGATGCTCGTAGAGATGTGGGTTAGAGATGAAAGATAGAAATTGAAAATGAACTTCCTGCTCCCTCATCTTCCTGCTGAAGGATCAACAGCCTGTCATGGTCATCTCAGTTTTGGACAGACACAGGAGCTCTTATCTTCTACTGACCAAGATTTTTTAGAGCAAGTGTGGGTGGTTACAACCTTCCAGTTCATTTTGTTTCTAAGGCTTTCTTCATACTACATAATGGAGGACTCACTTTCCATCCTGAAAGTGGCACACATGAAAGTGACCAGTCACCAGCAGTAGGATCAAGGAACAAGAGACAAATGATGACAAAGATGAGTAGCTGAAGTGAAGGTAGTCTGAACAGCCCCATCTGAATCAATTAATGATGAGCTGCCAGCAAAGGTCAGTAGACAACAGAAAACGGATGCATAGTACTAGGAATCAAGGTGAAATGCATTGATTGGACCAGACCATGCCCAGACCATGTCACAAAGCCCAACATTGTAGAAGACTCAAAACAGGCTTATAACTCTGCTCTCTATGTCATGAGTAAAATTTTGGAATACACACCAAGAGGCCATTACAAGTTCAGAAATCTGTTCCCAAGGACTCATTAACAACAGGAACTGAGGACCTCAGATAGTTTCCCAAGGAAAGCATCAGCAAGAATAAACCAAATAGGCTAATGTTCAGAAGGTATGACCAAGAGCTGCTTCTCCCACCCAAAAATGTCTGTCTTATTTTTGTGACAAAGGACAGTTATTTCCAACAGTGTGGGACTGATGATTTCAGAATTCTGCCCATGTCTCCCAGACAAGCCTTAGCTGCACACAAAAGAAGGTACATTCTTGTCCATGATAAGCACTGTCTCCCATCTCTCTGGAACATTCTTACTACTCTTGGTGTCAAAGGCTTTCAAGAAAAAAGGCTAGTGGGCATCGGATATCAACCTTCTAGCACTTATGTCTTTATTTCCTCTGGGAAAATTTCAAGGAACAGCTTTGAGAGCTGAGACACCACAGCTTTGGAGGACTTCCAGGTAGAGAACAAAATGTATTCAATCCAGGTGGACGTCACCATAGTCAGTCAGAAAACTGAAATATTTTAAATCTAGCATCCCAGTGAATATATATGTTCAGGAAGAAGAGTCACCATAGGAACTCAAAGATCCAAGAAAGTACTTAAATGGCACCATATTCTAAAGAACACTATACTCTATCAAGAGATTAATAGATCAAGAAATTAACACAGAATGAACATCGTCAAAGACACAAGGGTGGATATTTCCCAAAGAATTCATGCACATAATACAGATAGAAATATTCAGGATAAATATAGTACTGTGTAAAAATACATGGAATCAAGAGTAGAATGAATGTGGTTGACGATCAAATGAAGGAACTCTGAAAAGGCATCAGGAAAAGATGAAGGCTAAAGTATGGAAGACAAGGGGACAAAATTTTTTCATGTCACTCACTCAAACACCCTCATTCCAGGGGCCGCCAGAGTACAGGGTAAAGAACACAAATGCATTCATGCGTTTGTGTTCAGGATCCCATCCATGGCCATAAATTGCTGTTAGTGCACCTAGAGCTCCTGTTGTGCTCAGACAGCTCATCTAACTGAGTTACAGCAAACTTCCTTAGGAACAGCAGGAAGTAATGGACAGTTGTTCTTTATATGTTTACAAAATATATTTCTATCATTATAAAATGTCATCCTTCTTAATGGGGGCATACATTTAGATCTAGATTCTATGGAGAAGTCAGGACTGAGTGTGGTACTAAATTAGACAAATTGGCTTTTTTAAAAACTAAAGAAACCTGGAACATCCAGGGTTGAATTCCTCATGTAGTCAATCCTGGAACATTGTGGATCATACAAAGGATCAAAAACCCTGGAATTAGCCCTTTTGTTCCTCTTCTAAATGCATTAATCCAGAAGAACCATGGGACTGGGTTTACAGAGGGAACAATTT